TCACAGTGGGGCACACTAAGGCCCATCCCTCCCAGTGCAGGACTCTCCTCTGTACCACACACAGTCCACCATTTCCATCCTCATGGCCTAGTTGAAAGCAGTACTCTACTATATCTCAGTAAGACTCTGAGTAGGAGTGGTGTTTGCCCACCAAACACAGTGGCCTCCCTCAAGGTTCCTATCTGTTTGAGCATTTCCCCCACCATCTCTTACCCAGACCCATCTAGAAGATGACCTTAGTCTTAAATAGTTGAGGCTTTGTGGCCTCTCATATTGTTTGTCCCCTGGGCTACCCCCACTGCTGGGCCACAAGGATGAGGGTAAGAGGCCCTACCATGGACAGGAGAGGGAACATGGCCTCCCAACCCTTCCTAGGATTGTCGTGGGCTTTAGTCCTCCTCTGATATGTCCCACTTCTTGTTGACACGGATTCCTCAGAGGCAGAGCTTGCATTTCGGGCAGAATGTTAAGTGCCTTCCAGTTGGTTCCAACTCATAGTGACCCTGTCTGTGTTTCTGAGAAGCAGATGTCTTTTGGGGAACTTCAAAGAGGCTGGGAGCTAGAACTGGGGCTCTAGGGTCTCATTCTACCTCTCATGTCCACTGAAGATTAAACAGTCCCTGTTTCCTTGTCTGTCAAATGAAGAGCTCATCTGGTATGAACGCAGGTTTCCGTCTAATGATCATGTGAGCTCTAGGACTCTCACTGTACTTTCCCAAAAAGCATGAGGAGTGTGAGTTGGGCAGGAAGGAGATGGGGCCGACAAGAGGCCTGAGGCTTTGACCCCTGGGTTCCATAACCCAGTGCAGCTTCCAGGGCCCCCTTCCTCCCACACACCGCTCCGTCTTTTACTGGGCAGTGTTTTGAGGAAGTGGCCCAGTAGTGCAAGGATCTCTGTTTGTAGAATGGAGAGTTTAGAAACTAGAATGGGCTTAGACCTATGTATCTGAAGGCAGCAGTAGGTTTGTATGGTTAAGAATCCTGCTTCTGAAGGAGGCCAAGCTTCTCCCTCTGAATCCGCATCCCTGTCAAAAAAGGTAGCAGCCTCCCTCCCACAGCTCTCCACTTCTCAGCTGGGTCTGGTAATTCATTGCTGTGGCCACTCAGAATTCAGACACCATACCCAGTTATGGGGTATATTACGGAAGCTGACTCGTCGTGACCCTGTACGGGGTTTCCGAGGAGTGGCTGGTGAGCTTGAAGCGCCAACCTTACAGTTCAAACCGACCTTGCAGTCCAGTACATTAACCCGTAGTGCCACCCGGAAAGCTCTTTTAGGGCTCCTGGTAAATGCCCAAAGGCACTCCACTCCACTATAAATCTGAAGACATTCAGCTCTAGCTCCATGGGTCAGCAAACCTGCCCCCCGCCCCCCATTAATGCCTGGAGATACCACTTTTCACAAGTGAGTCTCCTGCTTGAAGGCAGTCGCCCAACTTTACTTGCTCTGTGAGCCTGAAAGCCCATCGCTCTCGCCCATGCTGTGGTCATGGTTCTGTTGCCGCTCCTCTGATGCCACAGTTCTGGCTCTTGGGTTGAGGAGGTTCTATGCATAGGGATCTCAGGGCCCAAAGGATGCGCTCTGCTACTGCTTCTTAGATGGCCCCTTTTAAACCCACTTTCGAATTCCAGGTTTTTGCTATCACAATTAATCCTGTTAACAGTCACTCACAACCGAATCATATAATCCTATCAACACCTACCCCCATCTTCTCTTACCCAGACCTAGCATGGGGGAAAAGTCACATCGTTACAAAACCTGGGTAGAAGAGCCCTATGAAGTAATTCACTTCATTAATAGAGGTTTGGAGTCCTGGTGTGGCACTGCAGGATCAACACTGGACTGATAACCACAAGGTCAGCAGTTCAAACCCACCAGGATGCCTCAGAAACCCTGTACAGGGTTGCTGAGTTTGAACTGACTTGACAACACATAACAACAGAGGGATAACCAACCGGTGCAACCTCTCAGGGCGACTGAGAATTCAATGAGGCCCTAACCATAGAGCCCTTGATGCTCTGAGCCTGGCACTCCTGCCCAACCTTCAGTCGGGAGTAATGGTAACCACAGCTGCAGTCTCCCCAGGCCCCTTGCCAACTCTGACCTGCTGCTTCAATCCTCACTCCTCCCAGCTTCCTCGGACCCAGCAGGCAAGTGACAGTGCTAATTATTCCAGAATCTGGAGACTGGGAAAGCGCTGTGAACGGGGCTGTCCTCAGTCCTCCGCCAAGCACAGACATCATCCTTTGGACTCATGCTGACCACATATTTAGAAGGAATCTTCTCCGTCCCACCCCTTAACAGATTCAGCTTCTTTTTTGAAATAATTTAAGAATGATACAACTGTTTCCAGGATAGAATAAAGAACATTTTGCAATATTTTATCATTCTTCTCTTTTTCCCTCCTTTCCTCCTCTTCCCATCCATGACTGTTAGAGAACCGTTTGCATAATCATGTTCCTTTACCCCCTAAACACTTTAGTGTGTAGTTTATAAGAATAAGGACATTCTCTCATATGGCGCTAGCATAATGATCAAATTCAGGAAATGTAGAAGACTTCTCGTCAGTACAACACTATCTAACGTGTAATTCATGTTTCCATTTTGTCAACAGTTTTTGAAAGAAATGCTTTTTTGTTCTGGTACAGGTCCGTGTACTGCAGTTGGCTCTTCTCTGTTGTTTTTGTTGTTAAGTGCAGTTGAGTCAGTTCAAGCCAGCTTTGCAGTCCCGTGCATTAACCCACAGCGCCACCCCAGGACTCCAGTCTTCTTTAATCCAGAGCAGTGTTTAATGTGGATGGAGTTTTTGAAGCGCACAGTCCAGTTGAGTTACAGAATGGTCTTCAGCGTTTATACCTTCACTTTAATTTTTTTAAGTACAGTGAACAGGGAAACATGTTCACCTTCCTTTTAGATGTGGATGGTACTGGTTACACACTTGCCCAGTGTCCACCAGCATTATGCTAGGTGTTGGAAGTGTTTCAGGACAAAGCCTAGCCCCTGCACTTGGGACCTTAGGTTTGACGAGAAAGCACTTACTGTGTGATGAGCTGGAAGGGGCCCTGCATGTGCTTGCGATGAGGGGCCTGCTGCGCTGGTGCTGGTAAGCTGGGCTAAACGCATCTTAAATGGGTGCAGCATGAATCAGTGTAGCCATCTACAGAGGTGCAGAAAATAGCCCTGCTGCCCATCCAGTATCCATAGTCACCCGCTTCGCCAGACCTCCTGAAGTGCCCAGATGCACATGTTCCAAAGGCGAGCTCTGGCTTCTCACAGAGTTCCCGAGCTGCAGTCTGGCGTCTGGTTCTGCCCTTCCACTCACTCGCCCTGTGACCTGGGGCTCTGTGCTGCCTGCTGTCTTTCCTGCTTGGACCAGCGGTGGGGAGGATTTCCTTCGTGACTCTAGAAGAACTCTTAGAACTCAGGTGGGGAGAAAGCTGCCACTGAGCCCTGGAGCTGTAGATGACAACAGGGCTCTGACAAGGGTAAGCAGCCTTAGAGGGGTCTTCATTGTGGTTAGACAGGCACTCTCCGAATTTGGATGCAGAGTGGAGCTGGGTGGTTTCAGACATTTACCTGCTCTGTTGGGTGGTATGCAGAATGAAAATTGTCATTTCATCTCCACTTAGGTAACCATGTCCGGTCAGGATGCTATCGTATCGGCTATAGGTGTTTCGTCAACTGAAAGCAGACAATGCAGAAATAATTCAAGTGCTATTAGATCGTCATAAAATTTTGTGTAAGCAAGTTTTTAATAAGGAACCCTGTGAGGTTGGTTTATAGCTGGTCATTAGGTCAACACCATTTTATAAAGTGGAATATATAGAGTTAAAAGAAAATAGAGTTTATTCTGAGTGGAATCAAATTAGAAGGTCCTGGATAGAGTAGAAGAAAATGCAGAACAAAACTAAAAAAGTTAATGCTTTAAAAAGACCAGACTTAGTAGTCAGATAGAGACTGATGGGGTCCCAAGACAGGCCCTTAGCCACACGTCAGGTCTGGAAATGAACTCTCCCCCATGTGGCTCAATGTGCAGCCAAACGAATAGACAGGTAGGTCTGCAAGGGAAACAGTAACACTAGGGAGGTAGGCACACCTTAGAGCACCTACCATTTGAGGTCAAAGGGGCAACATTTGCCTAGGACAAGGTTCAGAACGGTTAGGAAAGAGGAGGAGTGGAGACAGGAAACACAGAAGTGGGGTGAGTTATGTGCTATCCTGGGGATTATAATCAATGAGGGGAAACAATGGGGATCAAGTGTTAAATGGAAAATGATCTGCTCTGTAAACCTTCACCTAACTCACAATAAAAAGTTTAAAATAAAATAAAAATGTCTATCAATAAAAAAAAAAATTAAAAGAGTGGAGTTCTACACGCTTTTTGAAGCCCCCTAGTGTATTAACAGAGCTCAGGTGTGGCACTGGACTGTAATGGCGGTTTGTATTCTCTGGGATGCTGACAAGTTTATGGAGTTATCCTGGTATCATAGAGTTTAAATCCATTCTAGCAGCATGCTGCTGTATAGCCAGATTTTCCAAGAAGTCCCACCAAAGTTGAACTGAGTTGAGACCCAGAGGGCTGCTCACCTGGCCCTTCATAGTCCCAGGGCTTTGAAAGCACGAGACTGTCACAGGAGCCCAGCTTCTGGCTGTGGTGGGTTCTGGGGCAGGACAGGGCAGGAGGCTGGGACTTCATGCAGACAGCAGTTGGATTAATCTTGCTCTTGTAGCTCAGACACCTGTCGACGACACCTAGGAATGTGGCACTGGGCCAAGCCTTGTACACTGAAAGACAGGTGATTAGCAGGGCTGAAATTAAACTTCCAGGCCCAGCCCACACTGCTGAGACTGCTGAGAACGCCACACAGCTGGCTGCGTTTCAGCCGAAGTATGCTGCATATGCCTGTGTCCCCGCCTCCAGCTGAGGAGAGGGGAAGCTGAGCAGCCGAGGCCCACCTATACCTCCCGGTCTCACGCAGTTCCCTCAGCTCCAGCCAAGATGTGGCTCTTCCACGCTCTGCTCTACATAACCAGTAAGTGAGCCTCATTCCCCAAAGGAGCAGCTGCACCCTCAGCTCCAGCTGTTCATCTGTCTGTCTCTCTGTCTCATGGGGTGCACTCAGAGCCAAAGGTTGGCAAAAGTGTGTGTGAGTCAGGAACCAAAAGGGGCAAAATGGCAAGCTTGGGGTCAGCTCTCCAGGCTTACTGGGAAGGGCCACTGAGGCTCTCTGTGTTTGTGCTGACAGCCTGTGACCTCAGCATCCAGGGTGCTGCCACCCTGTTCCTGCAGCCAGCACCCCCACACCAGGCCTTCCCCCGCATAGCTCCCACTCAGGGTACATCAGGTGTTTACTGAGTTTGTTCTCAGAGCAGGTACTCTGATGATGCCCTGCCCTGCCCAGCAGAGCGCCCTATTACTGCCACGGGTCAATTTAGGAGGGTGGGAATGTGCTAGCAAGAGGCTGGGGTCCGTATGTGTATGGTAGTTGGTGAGCTTGGGGGCAGCCTGCTTCCTGTTCTGATATCAGAGCCACTGAGAACTGGTGTGCAGGTGGGTGGGAGGAGGCACTTCCTCCTCTCACCGTCTGGGGGTCCTATTCTGGGCTTTAGGCTGCTCATGGAAGTTACTTAGGCAAGCAGGTCATGAGCCTGCACCTGCCCATGAGGCCCGGAGATGAGACTGAGCATGGTCAGTGAGCCCCAAGAGAGGACCAGATCAAGACTGAGTCTAGGGTGGGCTTGCCTCATGATCTACGAAGGCTTCCTGAGGACTCCTGCTCTGGCCTGAAGCTTGACAGGAGAGTGAAGTTGTTGACAGGCAGGTATGCATAGTTCAGCGGCTCCTGGGAGACAAGTTCGTTGTGGAGACTGGATTGGGGCCAACCATGGAGTACCTGTCTGGGGAGAGCACTCTGGGAGGAGGCTCAGCGTTAGCATCCACCATAGGGCGAGGTCACTCAAGAGGCAGGTCAAAAGGTGTAGGACTCCAGCAAAGCGTGCATTTTGGACAAATCTTTGCTATTTCAAAAACATGAATACAGTAATCAAGGAAAACTAAAAACTGCTGAACTTCCTTTTCTTCATTTATTTTCAGGGACATGTAGACTGTGAAGAGGGTCTCAACTTTAGTCCCTCCTCACCTGGTTCACATGCTCCCAGGGCAGAGGAGGTGACTAGGTTTCCAAGGTTTCAAGCAAGCACTAGTAGAGCTGGAGTTCAAACCGAGGCTTCCCAGCTCTGGTAGTCTCGGGACTCCTGCTCCTCTGGCTTCTGCAGCCGCTAGAACAACCCGTCAGTATCACCCAGCCCCTTTTCCAGCTGGTGACACCCATCAAACCCTCTCTGCAGCGTCTGCACTGACTCCCCAGACTTGCACCCAGGTCACTCCACCTGGATGGGAGAAATGAAGCTGTGACAGTCCTGCTTCTAGCTGTGGGTCTTGAGACTTAGGGATGAACCAGTCCTGGAGACCATCTGGAGGAGGTACTGGTGAAGGTAGAAACCCTCAGAGTGCCTCCTGGCCCAGTAGCCTGAATCTCGTGCCTGAGTGGGCCTCCGGAGCTACAGAGACTCCAGCACTGTTTCCACCCTTCCCAGGACATCCAGTGTGGTGAGCTCCACTTGTTATCTGTGAGAGGACACGAGGCAGCATCACTCTCCTAAGAGAAGTTTAGATGAGTCTAGGGCAGATAGTCAACATGGAGGCCCAGAGCTGACCACATCTCCCCCAGTGGAGACCCAGAACTGACCACATGTCCCCCACCACACAGATCCATCACACCCTGCAGCCCAACAGTCCACCCCCCACCCCCACCCCCACATCAGTCCTCACCTCTGACTCACACTGACCACAACAGCTCACTTCTCTTGTCTGGGTCTCAGAGGTTGAGTCTACATTCCTCATTGTGTGAAGAAGGAACTGTGCTGTTGGCCTGCCTCTTGGATGACCTTGGCCCATGGTGGATACTAATGCTGAGTTCTTCAGCACAAACCGCACTCTCTCCAGACACTGTTGGTGCTCCATGGTTGGCTCCAATGCAGCCTCCAGAGTGAACTTGTCTCTCAGGAGCCTCTGAACTACAACTTTACCCAGTGGGGAAGAAGGAGCTCTGCTGACCTCTGACCAACTCAGGCTGTGGGCTGCAGGGCCTGCTGGGAGAACCGGAGGGCCGAAGACCCAGACCTGCCCTAGGACACCAGTTTGGACCTTGACCTTCAAGGACAGAAGAGGCCTTTAGCAAGTACCGACAGCTAGTGGTAGTGGTGGCGTGCCATGGAGTCAGTTCCAACTCAATGACCCTGTACAGGGTTTCCGAGGCTATAAATCTTTATAGGAGCAGAAAGCCTCATCTTTCTCCCGTGGAATAAATGGTAGTTTTGAACTGCTGACCTTGAGGTTAGCAGCCTGACTCGTAACCAGTACACTACCAGAGGTCCTTACAGACAGCTGGAGCGAGTGACTTTCTATGCAAAGAAAACCATATGGTCAGCCCTGGGGGTGTGAGGAATCTGTTTTAGGAAGATGGACGGGGAGGTTTGAGTGGGAGCAGAAGGCTGGCTGCTTGGATGTTGCCTGGCCCCTTCCCACTAGCTGAACATGCTGGGTGTTGATGATGTGGGCAGAGCTTAGGGTGGCACTGTCCCTGTCCTGGGGGTTCCTGTGTAATGAGAAAGCAGGCTACACACATACATAACAATAGTCCCTCTAGCCCCAGCCCATCAAGGATGCCTGTAGGTCTTATAACAACGGCTGGTGAGAGGGTTTTCTAGGCAGAGGAGTAACCCAAGCAGAAGTGGACTGTCAGAGATGTGCAGTGTTTGGGGGGGCATAATGGAACCCAATACCTCCGACCTCTGGAAGGCTGTCTCATAGGGTGTATGTAGAGAAGATGTGGGAATATGGAGGGTTCAGAGGGAAGATGGACTTCACCCCAAGGGCAATGGAAAGCCACAGAGGATTCTAAGCAGAGTGGTGATAGACATGTGTGTTAGGTGGGAGGGGAGTCTGGGAGAAGGGGAGGCAGTTGAGGTAGCTGCTGCCATGGTCTAGGGATGTTGGGGCAGGAGGGCATGGAGAGGAGGAGACACCCAAGAAATTTATAGGAGGAAGATAAGACAATCCACAGTCTGTGTTCAAGACCTGTTGGCCATTGTTGCCATTAGGTGACCAATGAAGGGGGAGGGAGGGAGCCAAGGTGGCTGTAAGGTTTGGGGCAGATGATGCTGAGTGGTGAAAAGACCGAGGTAGGTGGGCTGGGGACACGGCTTCACTGGACAGATGCTCTGCTGGGGGTCGAGGCACAATCCTCCCACAAGGCCTTTCTGGGCATTGGGCAACGCGTCAGAACACCTGGGTTTTGTCCCATTTGTACAGCTGGCTTGTGTAACTTTGGGTAGGCCGTGTCCGCTGTACCTCTGTTTCCTAAAGTGGAAATGGTGGTGGCTGTTGTGCTGTAAGACTGTTGATAGTGCTCAGTGCAGTGGGGGACAGGGTTGGGGCAGGCAGTGGTGGCTGACAGGATGGAGGGGTGTCTCAGTCTGACTCAGCTTGGGGAAGGCAGTCCTGTGGGTAGTGTGGTGATAGACACTGGTTTGGCTGAGCTCTCATCTGACGGCTTATGGTGGGGGGGTGCTTGAGAGGGAAGGCAAGGCAGTCAGAGAACATGGCAGGTCTGCGCTGGTGATTTGAACCCTAGGCTTTCTACTCCCGTAAAGATTTACACCCTCGGAAACCCTGTACAGGGTCGCTATGGGTCGGAACCGACTCAACGGCACTTAACAACAACAATGTTAATATTGGAGTCCGGGTATAGCACTGTAGGATTAGTACTGGACTGCTAACTGCAAAGTCAGTGGTTCAAACCCACCAACTGGAAACCCTAGACAAGGTCACTATGAGTGGGAACCAACTCAACAACACTTAACAACAACATTAGCATTCTCATACTAAGCCTCCAACGCCAAGCACGGCCCCATGTGATCTGCAGATCTTCATCTTGCAGATGGAGAAACGGGAAGTGGCAGGCCCAGGTCCTTCAGTCACTCCGTGGCAAAGTGAGGATCTGAACTCAGGACTGTTTCCCTTTGGGCCCAGTGCAAAGCAGTGTCAGAGTCTCCATGGGAAGAGGGTGAAGGAAAGGTGTTACTTGGCGTAGGGACATCCCATGCAAAAAAAATGATCAGCAGTCTGGAGGGAATCAAGAAGCTGAGCCATGTCTGACTGCCCCAGGCACCAGCTAGTTGAAGATGGCCCGTCCCCACGATCTTACGCTCCTCTACCCCTGAGCACAGGAACCTCACTGACTGACCCAGTTACTAGTTTTCTAAACCAGAGCTCTGACCCCGATCCGAGTTGCCAGCCCAGCACTGCTAAGCAGGAAGGGGACCTAGTTTCTGGAGGCCATTTGGAACGCTGCTGCCTTTGTTCACCAGCCCCCTCAATGCCTTCAGCTGTCCCCAAATGCTTTAGGACCAGGTGGGCCCCAGACACAAAAGGTCAACTGAATGTCGGCCCACGAGTCATCACTCTACTTTTCTGGATCCTGGCATCCAGCGTGGTGCCTTGAAGATAGCAGATACCCCATTGGAGAACTGTGATGGTCTCTACTCTGTGCTTTCCAAGATCTTTCTGGTGAACAAAGTAGAAATGGGGTTGAGGGGTGAGGCACAGGCGCTTCTGGCCCCTCTACCATTTCCAGGGCCCCTCTTCCGGACCTTCTCTGTGCTGAATTGGGCTTGTGGTTAGGAGGTGTTATGGATGATTCAGATCAGATTACAATCCGGGGGAGACAGACTTCATCACAGATCTGTCTGGCCCAGGCAAGATTTAGTCAGTGCCAGTCACTGCCCAAGAATTCACAGGGGCTCTTGAGGCAGGGAGCACATGGCAGGGCTGTGTAGACAGAGCTGGAGAGAACTGTGAGAAAGGCGCAAGAGGCAGAGGGAACAGCACGTACAAACGGTCTGGCAGTGGGAAGGAGCAGGTGATGTTCAGCGAGTAGGTGCATAGGAGCTTGAACCAGTTCCAGAGCTTACCTGGCAGAGCATACGTTGGGCTGGGTGGGGCAGTGCCGTAGGGGCTCAGGGGGAGACTGGGCTCTTCCCAGGGGTTCAAATCACATCTTTCAATGGCACGGATGGAAAAAAGAAAGAAAAGAAAGCTTTTTAGTCACCTCTTGGAATAAGCTGATAGCTCCCATTTTTAGTTCTTTTCTATTTGTTTTAGCATAATTTTGCTGGTTACTCTTGGCCCAGCCTGGCTGACCAAGAAACATAGGGACCAGCCTGGAGCCTGAGCTATACTCCCTGCTGGTCATGGCCATCCTGTGTGTGAGCT